GAGACATGGGGGGAGAGGGAGAGTGACAATCTCAAGCAGACTTCCCATTGAGCATGGAGCCCAACATGGGGCTGATCCCAGGATCCCAAGGTCATGACCTGAGCTGAAATCAAGAGCCAGCCGCCCAGCTGACTGAGCCACCCAGGCATCCCTGGATCCAGTATTTCTGATGAGAAATTAGCATTCATTTGAGTCCTGATGCCTCTGAATGTAACATGGTTTTATTCTAGCTGCTTACAAAATGTTATCATTATTTTGGTCCTCAGCAGTTTAATGGTTAGGTGTGGTTTTCTTGGTATTTATCCTCTTTGGAGTTAACTGAGCTTCCTAAATGTGTGCATTGATGTCTTTTCCCATACTGGGGATTTCGTCAGTCATTATTCCTTGAAATCTTTCTCCTACTCTACTAACTCTCTCCTCTCTTTCTGGAACTCCAATTATGTGTATGTTATACATTTGATGTTGACCTACAGATCCCAGAAGATCTGTTCTTTCCTCTTTCAATTTATTTTCTCTCAAGTGTATTAAGTCTTTCTTCCAGCATCTTGAATTTTCAGTTAAGCAATTCAGTGATTTTCTGTTTCAGATACTGTATTTTTTAGTTATAGGATATCCATTTGGTTATTTTTTTTTAAAGATTTTATTTATTTGACAGAGAGAGAGACAGCAAGAGAGGGAACACAAGCAGGGGGAGTGGGAGAGGGAGAAGCAGGCCTCCCCCTGAGGAGGGAGCCCAGTGCGGGGCTCGATCCCACAACACTGCGACCATGACCTGAGCTGAAGGCAGATGCTCAACGGCCGAACCACCCAGGCACCCCTCCACTTGGTTATTTTAAAAAATAGTTTCTCTTTCTCTGTTGAAATGCCCCCTTTTTTTTTCATCCAGTGGGAGCAAATTTTCCTTTACATCCTTGAACATAGTTATAATTCCTACTTTAAATTTTTTTTCGTTTGCTAATTCTAACATCCAGGGCATTCCATAGCTAGTTTCCATCAATTATCCTTATATTAAGTATGGGCAATGTGCTCTTATTCCTTTGTGTGTCTTCATATAATTTTGGATTATATCCCGGGCATTGTGAATGGTAACATTGTAGAGATTCTAGATGTTTAGTATGTCCCTCCAAAGAGCATTTTTGTTTTATTTTGTGTTTGTGAGCAGTTAACTTGGTTGAACCCAACGGCAAACCCGATCTCTGGGGAGATGGGCACAAACTCCAGTTCACTTCTTTTAGCCTTAGCTGGGCTGCTTGGAGTCTGTCATGGGTATGCATGTTTTGTGGCCAAAGATTTGGGCAGAATTTATGTGCTGTATTTGGGGACCTCCCTCAGGCATCCTCCTTTCTAGAATTTAGTACCTCACTTTCTCTCTACTATTATGGTTTCCCCAGCCTCTGTCACCCTGTTCATTGAGCCTTAAGTGTAATACTTTCTACCTGAGTTTCAACAGCTACATGGCACAGACTGGGGCCTGTTCCCAGACTAAAAGCCATGAAAATTACTCACTGGGTGAGTGATTGCTTATTTTCCTGCAGGTTTCAACTGCATTTGGTCCCCTCTAGGGCCTTCAGGTAGCTGTGTTTTATTGTTCTTCTGCTGAGGCTTTGTAGTTGTGATTGGTGAGAGAGTGGTTCCAACAGGAGCCACCAGGCTATTAGCAGAAGCGAAAGCTCCTATGGAGACATTCAGAACAGTGCCTCGCTGATGAGCACGTAAGACACGTGAGCTGATGTTATTGACTGCACCGCTGGGTTCCCTTCCATGGTCAAGATGAGAAGCAACGTGGATACGGACACCCTCATGAAAGAAGGGGTCCTCATTCAATGAGGGGCACACAGTGGGCATTAGACTGTTGTTGTAGGAGACCACTGAACTGGGGGGCAGTAGCACTCTCTGGGAGGCTTCCTGGAGGAGGTGGTATTGGGGCAGGAGATGTGTCAGATGTTCCAAGATGAGAGAATAGACTTTCTGATTTCAGGGTTTTATTGATAAGGATTGCTAGCTCTCAGGGGAGGTAACTTTCCTAGGGTAAGCCCTGGAAGTTACTTCCTGTAGCAGTGAATAGATGTGAAACATCCAAGAGCCCCAAAGTCCGAGGAAGCAATGCCTTGGCCTGCTTACTCCCTAAATGTTCCCAGGATGGGACTAGTGCAGGGCTGGAGGTTAGGACCCCCAAACCTGCCTAGTAAGGTTGAGCTACCACTCATTTTGCTCACTTCTGAGCCTGCCATTGCGAAGTCTGTGGAGGCCAAAAGCAAGGATGACAGGGAGCTTTAGTTTTCTGTCCAGTTAATTTTGGTAACTCCTCATTCCTCAGAGTTGTGATCCTTCCTCCCCAACACACCCCGTGGTCCCACTGGAGCTTCCAACCCTAGGCAGGCTCTGTTATGGCCATGCTACAAAACCGAGGCTCAGAGAAGTGGTGTGACCAACCCAAGGCCACACTGCTAAGGCGCTGGGGCCAAGACTCCAACCCAGGACTTCCCACTGGCCCTTGAACAGCTCAGGAGATTGCCCCGGTGCAGGGTCCTCCATCTCTCCAGCTGCCAATGGAAATAATAGCCATATCCCCCTCAGGGGCTGGCGTGAGTTTCAAAAGAGGCTGAGTGTGTGAAACTGACACATAAATTGTAAATTGCCTACAGACGTTAGTGTCTGTTACTGTGGTAACCGCCCAGCATTTATAGACCGCATTCGCTCTGGGTACCAGTGGTCACATTGGCATTTTAATTTAATAGCATTGTTATTCTTCCGTCGTAAAAACAATATAAATTATGCATATGTCCAAACTTACCAATTGTATATATTAAATATGTGCATTTTTATAAACCAGTTATATCCCAATAAAGCTATTAAAAATTACCTTCATTACAGAAAATTGAGAAAATGTAGAAAAGTAGAAAAAGAAACAAAAATATTTTATTACAGCAACCCCAAAGTACCCTCTGCTAATGTCGGTGGGGTGATAGTCATTTTTTCGGCTTTTCTTCCCTCTGCCCAGTGTGTTTGCCATTTAACATGGCTGTGATCACTGGTGTATATAATTAAAAGCATTTTATACACAATTTTATATCCTGCTCTTTGCCCCTTAGGGGCTCCTAATAGGAAGAGCGAGGGCTGCTGCCTTGCTGTCTGGGACCCCGGCTCCGCTGGGCTCTGGGTCCGGGTCCGGTGTGCTTGTGCTCCTGGGTCACGGTGGATGGCCCCGGGGAGGGCCTGACATATCCCCCCACCGCTCCGTGCTCAGCAAGCATTTACACATTCCCGTCCGATGCTCTTCTTGTCTTGTTTTTCTAAGTTTAATGAAATGTGCTTTTATCGTGATCTATGGAAAGTCCAGCTCATCATCCCACTTCTAAACCACCTTCTCTCTCCTCATTTCTTTTGTTGTCAAACGGGCATTTACTTAGGCTCAGAAGGCTAGTGCAGGCCAGAAGCTGCCTATAACAGGCACTGATTGGAAAAGCAAAAGGTGTTGATTGAATAGGAAAGTGAAAATCACTTGAGGGCTTGAGATAAGACATAAGTACTTTTGAGAAGCAGCAAGGAGCCCCATCTGAGTGGAAGAGCGAGGTGGGCAGGAGGGAAGATGAGGCTGGGCGGGGTGAGAGGGGTTGTCTTTTACCAAGTGGAAAACATGAAACTCAGTGGCAATCAACCACAAACAATTTCTTCTTGAGCACCTGATGATCCTGCTCATCTGGGCTGGGTTGGGCTGGGCGAGCAGGGGGGCAGAGGCTCTGCTTGGGGCTGGCGTGGCTGGGTGACTCTGCTGCATTCCTCTCCCCCTCCCTGAGACTGCTGGGCTGGCATGGGCAGGTCCTTCTGGCAGGGGCAGGGACAGGATGGTGGCTTATCTGATGGTGTCCCGTAGGCCATAGCAAATCACGTGGCCAAACCCAGAGCTGGGGAGTGGTGGCAGTGGCGGGGGGGGGGGGGGGGGGGGGGGGGGGGCGGCGCGGGGGGGGGGGGCGGGGGGTGGGAGGCAGGGCCATGTTCTGCGCAGGTACAGGAGAAGGGCCAAGGTCTGGGCTTCTGATGTGGTCTGCCTCTGGGGACTGCAGACCACTCAAGCTTTAGACCCCTCTGAGACATCGCTTTACTCCAAGGTCAAATGGGGATTTGACTTAGAGGGTTTCGGGTGGGTTCCCTCTTGCTCTGCTAGGGTTAACATAAGCAGCGACAGGGAGAAAGCAAAGAGATCCTTTAGGGGGCTGTTGGAATCTTCCAGGTGAGAGGCAGGGAGATGTGGGTGGGATCTGGCTACATTGCGTAGGCCTGGCCAGGAGGGTGGGACACGGCCCATGGAGAGGGAGACTGAGAAAGGGGTCAAGGAGACTCCAAGGCTTGGGCCCGAGCCGGGGGAGGATGGAACTGCCACCACCTGGTGGGGGAGGCGGCCCAGGAGGGCTTTGGGAGGGCACAGCATCCGGTTTGGGGGACCAATGCAGCATCTGGGGCCAAGACACGCTGTGATTCAGGTCACTGTAGGAGATTGGACTGGGGGCTGTATTTAGAGCAGTGGTTTATTGGAGAGTAGGTCTCCGGTGCTGAAGCTGGACTTGGTGCCTACAGAGTCCAGGCCAGGAATGCGTGAAGATTACGGGGGTCCCTCCAATGGGGAACTCATGGGGGACAGGGATGACCGTAGCTGGCCCCAGTGGACCCCAGAGTAGGGCTAGTGTCAGATTGTGGCCCATTCACCTGGTCAGCACACGAAACCCCCAAGCTGCTTCTGGAAGGAGGAGGAGGAAGGAAGGAAACAGGAAGGAGAGAGAGGGAAGCAAGCCCTCGAATAGGTCTCCGTCCCGCAGCCAGCTGGGAGGGGACAGGGGGAACCATCGACCCCTCGTTAGTACCCCTGACCCTCGGGCCCCTGCTTCTGGATGGTGGCCCAGCCCACGGGTGCAGGCTCTGGTGGGGGGGGGGCTGTTCTGTTGAGCTGCACAGTACTGGGTCCTAATGAGCCGCACCTTCCTGTCTCTCCCTACTCCCCACAGCCGATATCATCTCTACTGTTGAGTTCAACCATACCGGAGAGCTGCTGGCCACAGGCGACAAGGGTGGCCGGGTTGTCATCTTCCAGCGGGAACCGGAGGTGAGGTGGGACCTGGTGGTGGTGGAAAGGGGCACCACACCCCACCCGGGCCTTTGCTGGCTCTGTCCTGGACTCCGGGGACGCATTCAGAACCGGCAGGGGCAGCTGTGGCCCTGGGTTAAGCCTCCGATTGCTGCCCTCTGCCTGGGTGTCCTGGCCAACGGTGAGGGGACAGGAAGACTGGGTTTTCTGGAGCCATGGGGCTGCCTTCAGGCTGGGGTTGGTGACTTGGCTGAGCCCCAGGCCTCGCCCTTACGAGGTTTGCTGTCCAGCAGAATTTCAGGTCAGACAGGGGTGGCCTGGAACAACCCACCTAGGGGCACTGCTTCTGAACCGCTATGAGAACATCATGATAAAAGAACCCCGTTTGTTGAGTACCTACTATGTGCAGTTACCTTGCTGTGTTCTCTACACACTTTTGTCATTGACTCTCCACTGCCCACCTCAGAGGGTGGGGACCGGCAACCATTTTACAGATGAGGACAGTTGGAGAAGTTGCCCAGCTAGTGAGCAAAGACCGGGGGCTGAAACCAAGGCCATGTGTTGTCACGTACACTGTGCCTCGGAGAGGGGTGACCCACACACCAAACACATGCAGGGATTCGATGCTGAGGATGGGAGAGCGAACACCAAGGAGGTGGAGGACAGGGAAGGGAGAGGGGAGGGCAAGTGGGATGAAGGGAGAGGAAAGAGGGGTGAGGAAGAGAAGAGGAGGAGGGGGGATTGAGAAGGAGAGCGGGGAGGAGAGGGATGAAGGGGGCAGGAGAGATGTTGCAGATACATCCCTGCCCCGTTCTGTTCCAGAGTGTTCCTCAAGGTCTGACTTCTCCGTGTTCCCTCCCTCCCCCCGTAACCCCCCTCACAACAACCCCAGTGGGACCTTTAGTTTCTATAAGAGCCCTCACGTCACAGATGGGCAGACCGAAGCTCGGAGGGTATGACCTAACTTAGCCAGGACACATAGTGAAAAACAGACGGCTGAAAATCGATTACCCGAGCACAGGCCTGTGGCCGGAGCATGCCAATTTCACGAGAAGGACCCGGGTCGCCCACCGGCGATTGCAAAGCCAAGCCTCCTTTTTGCGGAAAGAAAATTAAACGGGTAGATATACGTTTCTCGACTTTGGAATTTTTCTCCCATAATTTTTTTCTGTATTCTGGTCCCTGTGACCTTAATCATAGACAGCGCTCGTGGCAGCTGAAGAGACTTAGAGGCAAAAACACAGAAGCTTGCCAGAAGCAGGACAGGTGTATAAATATAGCAATAGATGCTTTTAGAAAAAATCAGCGGGAACTTGAAATTCTGTCTGGTTGACTGTCTCTGTTTGTTCCCGGGCTGGTTACATGTCTGGCTGAAGCTTTGTATCACCACGTACACTGAACATGTCCACTGAGAAGCCCAGCCCTGTGCCCACAATGCCTCCCCACCTCACTGTTTGGAGGGCCCTATCACGAGGGTCCTTGTTATTGGGAGCTCTGCTACCTCAACCAGGATGGGCCCATGGAGGAAAGCCCCGGGGACGATGGCCCGGCTCCAGTCTGACATTCCAGAATTTTCTACCTCTGTGTAAAAATCTGCTCCAAGATGCATGCATCCCATGAGTCAGGACCAAGTTGGACACTTGGACTGGAAGAGCAGACCGGAGCCTTGGCCTTGGGTGTCAGACAGACCTCAGAGGCACGAGGGATGCATGGCCTTTGAGGGGAGCAGTCAGTTCACCTCTGAATCTCCACTTTCTCATCTGTAAAATGGGGGATAATGGCTGTGCCCACTCTAGAGGGGTCATGCAGATAGAACAAGATGGAGAGGGAGAAGCACTTAGCTCAGCATCCTGCACATAGTAGGTGCTTAGTAAATGTGAGCCACCCTGATTGCTGGACTGAGGAGGAGACGGGGCTTGGCCACAGCCACACTCCAAGTCATTGGTCATTTAAAATGCAGAGTTCCCTTTGACCCTGGTGTCAGATCGCCCAGCCCTGGTGGACACGGGCTCCTGGTGGTCAGCGTGCCCCTCACCCCTGCACCTGCCGGCCTGGAGCTCATGCCCCCTTGTCTGGCTTTTCTCGCAGAGTAAAAATGCGCCTCACAGCCAAGGCGAGTATGACGTCTACAGCACCTTCCAGAGCCATGAGCCTGAGTTCGATTATCTCAAGAGTCTGGAGATAGAGGAGAAAATCAACAAGATCAAGTGGCTTCCGCAGCACAATGCCGCCCACTCCCTGCTGTCCACCAACGGTGAGGGGCGTGCGTGGGGGTGGGGCGCCGGCTCTCTGGTGCTCTTTCCCAGTTCGCTTGGACTGAGCATCCTTCTAGGTCCCCAGAGCTCTGAAAGAGCATCTTGAGCGGTGGGAACATTCCAAGCCATGAGGTTCGTGGCTTCCTCCGCCCTGGCCCGTGGGGGATGTGGGGCTTGTTTGCACTGCGACAGCTGGCTGGGTCGGGGACATCTCTGTCATTACTGTTCCTGGGAGGTGGAGGGAGCTTGGCATTCCCAACCGAGGAGGCAGACCTAACTCTTCTGGAATCCCAGAGCACCCCTGGATGGGGTTGTCACTCAGAACGTGGGGCAGGCAGCAGCAGGAGGACGGGTTCAGAAGCCTGGCTGGACACTTGACCGTTCTGCCCCAGGGAGGACGCATGCGCCACTCCCCCACCCCCGCCCAGGCCCCAGGGAGGCTCCTGGCCAGACTCCTGCTTCGATGTGTCCCACTCAGGGCCTGGGTGCTGGGGCCCGAGGCTCGGTGTCCCCCTGCTCACCCTCCTGCATCTCTCGCCCCTGTCATCAGTGGTGTCTGAGTGGTGGGAGGACAAGCCTGGACTCTGTCCCAGCCCTGTGAACTTGGGGCGGTGGCTTTACTTTCCTGGGCCTCGGTTCCCTCCCCTGTGCAGTGGGGTGGACACAGCTCCCCCGCATTGTGGTCGGGGTGACATGGAAGCCACATGGCCAGGACCCTGAGGCCAGCCAGCCCTGCTGCAGCGTATGTGAGCCTCACACGGTGATGCCACCTGTCTTCCCTGACAGAGCCCAGACTTAGTGCAGCGGCTAAGGCATCCTCGAGACTGCTTGGACTTGACCCCTCCAACCCTTGCGCCTGAAGGCCGCCCTGTCTGCCCGTCACCTGGCCAGCCCCTCCTCATCCCTCAGACCTCCAGTGCATGTCACCTGCCACTGAGCCTTTGCGGACTTCTCCGCTGAGCCTGCTGTCCCTCCCGCAGTCAGTCCTGGCTGCCTCCCACCCCCGCCAGCCCCTCCTGACCCCAAGCCTGCGCTCTGGGGCTCCTGCTGCTCTCATCCTTCACTGCGCCCAGTGCAGGACCAAGCCCCCTAAGGGTGCCTGGCCCTGGGCTATGCTCAGGCAGGAGTCCGTCATGTGGTTCATTCACATCCCGGCCCTGCCACTTCCTCATCTGCGTTGCCATGGTTGTTCCTGCCTCGTGGGGGCGCTGATTGGACGAAATGACGAAAAGCCACAGGGTGGCTTAGAACAGGGCTGGTGCTAGGGAGTCGCACATAACCGTGGGAGTGGGATGTTTCTTTCTCCTCCTGTCCCCCGGGAGGAAGGTCAGCTTCAGGAGTTTCTTGACCCCGGGTTTAAATTCCACTTGCACCCTTTCAAAAGGGCATGTCCTTGGTACCTATCAAGGGTTTGATGATAGCTGTTGTCTCCCTCTTCCTTCTCCTGAGAAGACTGTTTTGGCTACAGTAGCAGTCCTGGAAGCAGAACCGATATGATAAGTGTGTGTGTGTGTGTGTGTGTGTGTGTGTGTGTGTGCGCGCGTGCGCGCAAGCGTGTGTAGGTGTGTAGGTAGGGATACACATGTACATACAGATAAGATATATGGAAAGAGATATTTTAAGTTGTCTCACATGATTGTGGGGGCTGGAAAACCCAAAATTTGCAGGGCTGCGTGGAAGGCTGGAGATCCAGGGAAGAGCTCATGTTGCAGCTTGAGTCCGAAGGCCACCTGCTGGCAGAATTCTCTCTTCCTTCGGGGACAGGGGGTGAGGGGGCGGAGGGGAAGAGGGTGTCAGGCCTTTGAAGGCTTTCAACTGATTAGACAAGGCCCACCTGCAGCATGGCCAGCTGTCTGCTTCGCTCTATGTTTTTATTTATTTTTCTGTGTGTGTGTGTGTGTGTGTGTGTGTGTGGTTTAACAGAAGTTTGTTCTTCATTCCCATAAAGTCCATCGCAGGGCTGTGGGACTTTCCAGAATAGCTGTTCTCAATGCAGGGAGCTCAGCATTCCAAAGTACTTTGAGTTTCTGGCCCCTGTTTCTGTATGGGTTTCCACGACTGGAATTCCCAGCCGCCCCATCTCCTGAACTGTGCTCTGTGCTGGTGTTAATCATGCATCTCATTGCGTTTGCTCTGTTTTGAAAGATAAAACTATCAAACTATGGAAGATCACGGAACGAGATAAAAGGCCCGAGGGATATAACCTGAAAGATGAAGAAGGGAAGCTTAAGGACTTGTCCACGGTGACGTCACTGCAGGTAAGATGTGGAACGCGGGAGGTTCTGGCAACCGGGAAGCAGTGTGGACTTCTTTTGTGAAACAGTGAGACTTCAGGACTTGGGCCTTTGAGATTTGAGCCAGAGTTGGGTTCGGGTCCTGGCTGGGCTGCTTCCCTGTGGGGAGGCTGCAGGCTCTTCTCTGGCTCTAGCCTTGGGCTCTTCATGAGCTAAGCAGAGGCCTTTCTCTTTTTCTCAGAAGTGATGTGGGGATGAGGTGGGGTGATGCGTGTCCTGGAGAACCCATGGGCTGAACTTCGTGGATTCCAAGCCCTTTGCCGAAGGGCCGAGAGAGGCCTGGAATAGGTGATTCTCGCCACCTGCTCAGTGGGAAAGAGGGCTGTTTGAAAAGAGGCTGGGAAGGTTCAGCTGCGGGGCCATGCCAGAGCAAACTCTCGTTCCCACGTGATTAAAAGGCAAAAGAACTCCTCTTTCTTCCAGAGGCTGTGAGACACAGTGGAGAGTGTTCTGGAATCCCAGGATCTGGGTTCCAGTCCTGCCCGGGCCACTGGCTGCCGGTGTGGCCTTGGGAGGCACTCAGCCTCCGTGAGTCCACTGACTCCTGGTCTGGAATGAGCATAAGCACTGTGGCCAGCATGAGTCTTCCAAGCACTCTACCCATGGTACCTCAGTCCTCCCCAAAGTCCTATAAATGGGACACATGATTATCAACGCCATTTGACAGATGAAACGAGAGCCGGGATCCAAACCCAGGAAAGTCTGGCTCCAGAGTCAGCATGCTAGGCTCTTCCATGATGTGGGAGTGAGGTCCCAGCCTTCCGGGAGAGCAGTGGGGATGGTCAGTGGTGTCCTGTGAGAAGATTCCATAGAAGTCTGTTCCTGTCCATCTCCAGCAGGCAGGGAGCATAGCCAGGCCATCTTGTCTGTCCCTTGCTTCCAGAATGGAGCCTGGAACATGGCAGGGCTCTGCTCGTGTCTGCCGAAGGGGATGCTGGCGCATGGCTCATTTGGACTTATTTACACATTGCACACCTACTGAGTACCGGTTTTGTGCCCAGCCCTGCTTGGGACATGGGGAGCCCTCAGCGAAACAAAGAGCCTGGGGGCAGGATTGGGTCTGAGTCTCAGTGTCTCCTGTTCCTGGGACCAGCTTGGCTCTGAGGAGGCGGCCTGAGTCCCACGACTGAGCTTCACCGGTACCTCTCTTCAGCTCCGATTTCCATGTTTTGGCTGATTGGAAAAGCCTGGGTCACATCGCACAAGCTGCCTGTCCTCCTGGGCGAGGGGGACCAACTCACGACTCTGAGTGTGCACCACTCCCCCGGGGAGCTGGGGATGGGAGGACAGTGGCGAGACCTGCATGGGGCTGTTAACGTTTCTCCCGGGCTCCCCAACGTCTCCCAGGTCCACTTGTGGTTGGTCAGGCGGCTGAAGGCAGGGCCCTGCCCCATGCCTCCGTTTCCTCACCAGCAAAATGGGGATGAGGACTCACTTTCCCTGAAGCAGCTCAGTGTATACGCTTACTACATGTGCAGGGAATCGTCGTAAATATGAAACAGTAATCAATGTTGGTCCCGAGATGAAGAAATAAATGTTTAAGCATATCAGCCTCTAAATGACTGGCAAATTGTGCAAATAAATTCTGAGAAAGCCAGGAGGCCAATTAGCTTCCACATTGAGTAATGGGAGTGACGTCCTCCCTCCCATGCCTCCCCCAGCCCCCAGGAAGTTTATGAGGCTTTCATCTGGTGGGAAGGATGCAATTATCACCACTTGATGGGCTTGGCGTTTGCGGCAGAGCCAGTGGCCCGCGGGAATCCATTTATTTCCCTCCCAGCATCTGAGACTTTGCTCTGTATCTCACTCACATCCCAAGATGACCCTTAACCACCCGCTGAGGCTGAAGGAGAAGAAAGGGAGAAAGAACAGGGGCATCTGGGTCTTTCCTCCTCTCACCTCTTCCTTGTCTCTTCCTGTGTTTCCCAAGCCACCCAGCCATGTGCAGTTTTTTACTGAATCCAAGCTGTTCCCGCTGGAGCCTGTCACTATTGTTTACTGACCAGCTGCTATGCCCTGGGCCCCATGCTAGCTCCCTGGGTTTCAGAGGTGGGCTGGGTCAGGCTGAGTGCCCAGCCCCACAGGGAGACAGACACGGAGTCATTCTACCTTGTTGATTTGGTGGACTCCTATTCATCCTTTAAAACCCTATTAGCTTTCTCCTCTGTGAAGCTGTTTCTACACAAGCCACGGAAAAACCCTCACCCTGTTTCTGTGCAGTCTGGCCTTGTGTATCCACAATGTTCTGTCCTTAGTGTTTAGATGTCTGCTGTCTTGCCTCTCACCTTGACTAGACTGTGGCTTCTAGAAGGTTTGGGGGAAAAGAATCGTTTTAATCATGAGACATCCAAAACTTCAGGGCATTTTTATTTTCACTCTTCTCCTTTGTTCTTTTAATGACTCTGAAATATGGTTTGGGGATGGCAGTAAATGCCAGAGCCCTGGGTGTAGGCCAAGGCTGCCAGGAGGGGAAGTGATGTTGCCAGAAGGAGGGGAGGCAGACTGAGATCTAAGACTTTGCTAGGCCAGTGATGCTCTGACCTTCTCTAGACAGGTGTGACTTGAGAGAGTCCAGGGCACCTGCGGGTGGCTGTGACTTGAGGAAAAGGAAGGAAGATTAAGAGCTGACCTAGAATATCCAACATGGTGGGGGGCACATGGGCAAGATGGAGGCCCAGTCATACCACCCGCTCTCATCTCAGGTAGAGTTCCTAGAAGCTCAGGCCCAGAGTCAGCAACACAAGTATGGCCCAGAGCCAGGCAGGCATGCACACCGATTTTGCACACATCCACACTCATGCACACACATGCACACTCACATGTGCATAAGCAGGCACACGTGCTTGCACAGACTTATGCTGGGTCCCCTGGTGCTGTGCCAGAGGAGGAACATTTAGGGCTCACACACCCTAACTGCAGCACCAAGCTCCCTGGGGAGCCCAAGGGACTCACCCCATTCATTTATTCACTGACCTACCCACTCATTCCCCCGGGACCTTTCTGTGCGGAAGCCTGGGCTGAGCACCAGTCATACAGAGATGAACACGAGAAGATACGGTGCACCCCTGACCATTCCCAGGCCACTGCAGGAATATGACAGCAGCCTTGTCGTGGGGCCAGGCCTGTGACAGACTGCGGCCCCTCCAGGGAGCCCCTGGCCCAGCCTAAGAGTGACGGGCAATCAGGAGAGGTCCGCTGGGAGAAGGAGATTGTCCGGTCCATGTCAGCCCACGTCTGAGCCACACAGCCTTCGTCAGCTCTGCTCCTACATATCCCTCCTCATTTCCCTTCCTGCCTGGCACCTTTCCAGCCACCCTGTCACCCGACCCTGCACCTGTTTTATTTTTCCACATAGCACCTGTGCTATGGGAACTCTCGCTCACATACACACACATGCGCACACATGCTCCCTTCTGTATCGGTTTATTTTCTCTCTCCCATCCGAGGGCTGGCAGCCCGTCTGCCCCTCTGTGTCCTCGCGCAGTTCAGTTTGGCTTCCCGTGACTCTCCCTGGTAACTTCTGCCCCAGGCCCAGGAGCCTGGCAGGTAGCAGGATGAGTCAGCATAACTGGGTGTTCAGAGGGTGATCGTTTCATGCAGAGGGCACGGAGGGAAGCCAAGACACAGGATGTGATACTGTCCCGGGGACTCCTCACACCACCCTCTCCGGCGGGAGTTCGTGTGCATGAGGCTAACACCAGCGGCCCTAACAGATAATCCCAGCCTCACAGGGAGCAGCACACTGAAATGTCTTGCTCATTTATGGGAAGGCCCAGGGTCGGTGTTCCTGGTGGACACATGACGTTCCTGCAAGAACGCAGACTCCTTCCATCCCACGGCCTTCACTCCAAAATCTCAGGTCCTCACCTTCCAGCAGTGGAAGGGAAAAGCGGGTAGAGAAGGCCCACATGCCCAGTGTCACTGTGCTCACATCCTACTGGTCAGAACCAGTCACATGGCCACAGCTGACTGCAAGGGCAACTGGGAAATGTAGTTCTTGCCTCCGCAGCCACTTCCTTGTGAAAAGGGAACAAAAATGGTGGATCATTGGAGGGGGCTGCCATGGTATCTTCTTATTCCATTTCAGAGGCGAGGAATCTAGGGTGCTGAGGGGTTTGGCCCCTCATTCAATGTCCCGCAGCCAACTCAGAACCAGTTCTGGGAGGCTAAGCTTTCCTGTAGGGCTAGCTGGTGAAGAATGTTGGCCACATGGTGCTGCCTGTTCCCAGCCTGTGCAGGATGGACACCCACAAGCACACTCCTGGCCTCTGGTTGTCATCGTGTAGCCCCAGCATGCTGTCTCTGCCTTGGGCCCCCGTCCCCCTGCACCCCCCTCCGTCACCTCGTCATCCTGCAACCCGCCCCCTCCCCTGCAGGTGCCTGTGCTGAAGCCCATGGATCTGATGGTGGAGGTGAGCCCACGGAGGGTCTTCGCCAACGGCCACACCTACCACATCAACTCCATCTCCGTCAACAGCGACTGCGAGACGTACATGTCGGCGGACGACCTGCGCATCAACCTCTGGCACCTGGCTGTCACCGACAGGAGCTTCAGTATCCTTTCCTGCACCATCTCCCGGGGGGCTTCCGGAAGGGGGTGGCTGGCTCAGTTCTGCTTTCGCTCAGCTTCTTCAGCAAGCGAGGCCCCGATCTGGAATCCTAATGAGCTGGTTTATGAAACTCTAAATCCGTGGCTGCCGAGGGTTATATTCGACCCCTTGCCTTCTCTGGATGGCTGTGTTCCCTGTCGTTCTGGGACCGCCTCGGGGACCCCAGAGGAGAGAGAGTTCTGGGGTCTGCCCTCCCAGAGGAGGGATGGCTAACCCATTGGAGAGTCAGCCGGAGGCTGCTCTGGACCCTCCTCCCTGCAGCCCAAGGCAGGGGCCTGAGTGTGTGATGAACAGCCTTGGGGGCCTGGCTTAGGGGGATAGTCGAGGAGTCAGGAGCCCAGCTGGAGGGGGTCAGAGGGGGCCTGCCTGGAGGTGCCCTATGTCTAGGCAAGCTAAGGGCAGTAGGATGGACTCTAGACCCTGCTGGCTGTTGAAGAAAGAACTTGGTACACAAGCACAAGCCTGGGAGGGGCCCCCATGGACAAAGCAGTCAGGTTGCTACTGTGTCACTGTTTGCAGGTCAGTAATAATAATCCTACACAGTGGGGCTCTGCGCCTGACTTCAGCATGTGTTCATGTCAACTCATGTCACCCTCATAACAATCCGGGAGGTAGGTGCTATCATGACTTCCTCTATCAATGAGGAAACTGAGTTCCAGGGAGCCCAAGTTAACCCACTCAGAGCTCACACATAGCAAGTGTCCGACCCAGCACTTAGCACCCCAAACCCCTGACTCCCCATCTCCAACCTTTATGTCCAGCTGCCTTTTGTGAAGTCTGCCTCCTAGGTGTGCAATGGAATGGGGTAGGAGGCAACCCTCCCCCACCCCAGAACTGTCGTGCAAGCTGACAGTTTCCCAAGTGTCCCCTCTGTGCTGGGTGCCGGGCTGCTCCTGCCGCCAGAAGCTCCCAGCATGGGACGTCCGGCCTGCTACTGTTGCTGCCTTACCTAAGGTCACGAGTAGGTTGTGTTCATCAGAGCAGAAGGCAGGGTTGGCCGGGAGGGCGTGTGGGAGCAGGAAGGAGCTGTCTGGAGGGCTTGAAGGTGAGACAGAGGGTAGCAAATGGCTTCTGAGGGCTGAGAGTCAGGGGCTGGCCAGAGGCCACTGGGCAGAGAGACCTCGGGAACAGGGAGAAAGGGGGCTCACAGGAGCAGAGAACAAGCGCATGTTCTTCCCTGAGCCCCATGGGTGGGTGTGGGGCTTTGTGGTCACTGTGAGCCTCTGCAAGAGTCTCGCTCTGCCCCCTAAGCTCGCTGATCTTGGGGAGTAACTGGCTCCCTGTGAGCCTCACAGACCCCTCGCCGCTAGGACTGCAGCGGGCGCGTTCAGTGAGCCCCTCCCAGATGCGCCCAGCACAGAGCTGGTCCTCGGTGTCAGGAAACGAAAGCATCTGTCTCCTTCCTGCCCCAAAAGGGTGGAGGGCTCTGAGCCAGGAGGGTGGAAGTGGATTGTGGTGGGCCCAGAGTTCAAGGAGGAGCTGAGGCTGGAGGAATGGAAGCTCAGATCTGGCTTGGTGGAGAGAGCTGGCCTGGGCATCTGCCTGACGCTCCGTTCAGGCTGAAAGCCCAGTGGGCCCTGCCCTTGTTCCCAGTGCTGAGAGCTTCAGTGGGTCAGGACTCCTTTGGTTGCAAGGCTTAGAACACCTCATCCCTGCTGACTCAATCAAATACAGGCATTTACTGACTTGAGGATCATGAGAAGGCTTCAGGCACAGCTGGAGCCAGGGGCTGATACAATGCCATTAGATGGTTCTCTCTGCTTTTCTTGCATCTGCTCTCTGCTCTGGCTTGTCTCAGGTGCCCCATGGTGGCAAACTGGGGACAACAGTACATGGCTGCCCTCCCAGAATAAAGTCCCACGAGGAAAGAGACCAGTTTCCTGTAACCTCTCCCATCAAGTCCCCAGATGGCACCCCATGGGCTCTGATGGGGGCCTCAAGGGCATCTCTGAACCTGTGACTGTTGTGGGGGTGGGATACAGTGCTCTGACTGGTCAGGCCTGAGTCAAGGGTGCTGGAGGGGGTCACTATAGAGGTCCCCTTGGGAAAAGCAGGAACTGTCCCAGCAGTTGGGGGTCCCTGCGGAGGATCACACAGCCAGACATCCCCTGCCAAGTTTGAGGTGTTGACCAGTTTCCTAGCAGAACAAAATGGGTCACATGGCAGCTCTAGGACTGCAAACAGGGTGGGCACGGGACTTGAGGGACTGTCGCGGGCTGTCCTCAGCGCTTCCTCCTAGCACTCGACCATGTTTCCTTCGCTGTCTCACTTGACCTTGGTGTTGGTGTGAAAGCTGAATGCGGTGGCACGTTATCACCCCATTGTGCAGTGCAGAAATAGAAGTTCAGGGAGACTGGGGGCTGGGCTGACGGGGGCAGAGCTGGGACTCACCCTTGGGCCTCCATGGCCTGGGCCGAGGCTGTTTGCCCTGCCCTCGGGCCACCTGCTGTGGCCACTCTCCTGGAGCTCTGGCTCCCTTGTCATAGGACCAGGCTGGGGACATGCCCCAGGCCGGACTAACGCTGCTGGGCTGCTGTAAGAACTCGGTAACACTGTGAATGCCCTCACCCTGTACAGCTGTGTAAGGGATAGTGTTCCCTTTCATTTAGCCATTAATTCCTGGTGCCTCTTCTGACCTGGGCCCATGCTGAGCCCCAGGGACACAGGGACAATGAAAGAAAATCAGCCCTGCCCGTGGGGGCCTCTGGACTGTGTCGGGAACATCACCCTTGCTGTGAGCGGGGCAGCACCCACACAAACTGTGGTGGGCAAGAGTGGGCGTGGCAGGGCATGACAGGTGAGGACGGTGGGAGAACTGTGCATGTGTGTCCTGGGTGGACTGGATTCCAGCAGGCAAGCCTGGAGCCCAGGAGCCCAGGAGTCCAGCGAGGAGATCTGGGGGGAAGCAGCAACGAGTAGGCAGGGGTTTGGCCGTGGGCAGGAGGCAGTGGGGTAGTGGGGCAGTGGGCCATATCATAACCATCTTTCAGACTGAGGTGGCCACAGGACATTGGAACAGGTTAGTCATAAACAAGAAAAGAGGGTTGATCCACCTCAGGACTGCAGGCACGGTCCTCCTGAGTCCTTATGACCAGCGGTGCCTCCTTGCCCCATTTAAACACATGGATTGTGCCCTATCCACATGCTGGGGAGCATGCCATTCACCACTGTATTTATTGAGTGCCTACTGTATGCCAGGCTCTTTGACTTTGAACTAGATAGACAAAGAACCTTGCCTTCCTGGAGCCAACAGACAGTAAACCATTCATGTAATAAATAAGTACATTACCCAGCATGCAGGCAGCTGGCAGGTGCTGGGAGACCACCAAGCACAGTACTGTGCGGTTTCTCCAGCCCCATTTATCTGCGGGGCTGCAGGTGTGGGCTAGATGGAGGGGCGGTGGGGAGTCTCCTGGGCCGTGTGGTGGTTGTGGAAACCTCCCCTGCTGAGACCTGTTTGTCAGGGAGCCATGGTGCACGTGGCACTCCCTGGGGCCTGTTGCTGCTTGGCCACCAGTATGATGAGCCCCAGGGGCCCCACGCAGAGCCTGGTACCGGCACTGCTGAGGCTGGCGTCCTGGCAGAAAAGGCATTGGGACCATGGGCTGCCACCACGACATGGGTCTTGCACCGTCAAGTAACTAGAAAAGGTGTTTCATTTCCAACGTGGGAGGAATGGCTCCAAATTGGGAGACCCCATTTGGGCAAGCACATGGCCAGGTGTTCTGGGCCAGGGGCTTCACCGTCCTTTAACTCTTGCCCTCCTGTGTCTTGACTTGCCCCAGTGGGCACTGTGGCTCAGGCTCTGATCCCCCAAAATCTCCTGCTGCAGAACTACCTTCTTGTAATACTTTCCACCCTAGCAGAATTGATCTCTAGCCAAGGTTTTGAGAGAAAGGAAAGCCTTCTTAATAAAGGAGAGAAGGTGGGCATTGTTTGGACCAGTGAGAACAGATAGTGAAGAAGCGGACTCAAGACGACCTTTCTGCTGCTAATTTGAGATTTGGCTCCTGTGCGTGGAGATGCAGGGAGCCCGGTGCTCATGGAGCCTCCGTATGTGTGCCAGGCACCTCCTTCCTTTCCCTCGCCCCCAAGATGGAACGAGGTGCCAAGCCCTTTCCTTCCTCCCCTTGGATGGCTCTGAAATCGGGCTTTCCTTTCCATCCCTGCCAAGGCCTCGCTGCAGCCACATGGTTCCTGCCTGGCCCGTTGCCTGGATCCTACACAGCTCAACCCCCCTGGCCCTGCACAGAGCTGGAAGAGCGGCTCATCAGATCCTTTGCTCTGAGCATGTCGGGTCCTGGCTTAAAGGTCTCAGTGGCTCCCCATCAACTCCTAGAGAAAGCCCAAATCCCTCAGCAATGTCCCCTAACCCGCCTCCCCAGGCTCCTGTGCATCAGGCCTGACCACACCGTCGGGCCGTTGGGGTTCCCTTCCTGTTATTGGGGGGGATTAAAGGGAGAGGTGCTCTGCCTTCTGCTATTCCTCTTCTGGATTGTTCTGTCTCCTTCTTGTAGCCTGGCTGGCTCCCCTTTGCCCATAAGCGTCACTCACAGCCCCCTTCACCAGGTCACCTCTGCTCTGCTCACTCCGTGTGCCTCCTGGGCTGTCAGAGCCCCTCTGAGCCCACACTACCTGGTCACACTGGGCTTTTCCTCCTCAACCCGTTTTCTGGAGAAACCCTTGAGATGAGGCACACCCCATCTGAGCCATCTCTGTATCCCCATATATAAGGCAGGGTCTGGCACATAGTAGGTGCTTGGGAATGGTTGTACACAACGACTTTGGATGGAGGAATTCCAGTGTCCATGCAGTGTTAGGATGTAGACACCTCCTTGTAAATCTGGGCTCAGGGGTGCTCAGAGACCCTGGGCACAAATGAGCAGCGGTCTGGGCTCTGAGGTCTGGCAGACCTGTGCTCAGATTCATTGTGTAACCTCCTTG